TGTTAAAAGAAAATATTTCAAATAAGTAATTTTTATTAAGTTATCATGTTATAACTGTAAAATTAAAAATAAATTACAAAAGAAAAAAGAAATTCCCCTCACAACCATCTATGTTAGCAACTGGCCTACAAACATCTGTATAATTAGTTGTTCAAAAAAAAAGCTACTCCCTAGTTATCACAGATTACAAGACGTATGCATGCATGCTAAATTGCTTCAGTCCTGTCCACCTCTTTCAACCCTGTAGACCGTAGCTCACCAGGTTCCTCTGTCCAAGGAATTCTCCAAGAAAGAATAACTGGAGTGGGTTGCCATGCCATCCTCCAGGGGATCTTCCCGACCCAGGAATCAAACCTGCATCTCTTTACATCTCCTGCTTTGGCAGGCTGGTTCTTTACCACTAATGCCACCTGGGAAGTACAAATTCCAAGATACTCGGGTCCAAATCCATTGACAATTATACATACAAGTCCTATGAGGAAGTCTGCTGTGACCAGAATCCAGAACTGCTGGAAAGATTGACCTTAGTCTACCTCTATGTGTGCAGCTGTGAGCAGATTATTCAATGACTCTGCACACCAATTCCCTGTCTATGAAATACTACAAATGCGTTACTCCCCCGCATCCCATAAGTCACTGGAAAGAGTGAGTTATTATGCCATAAAGTTCCTGGTTTATAGTGAGCTTTTAGTATATGTTAGCCCCCTCCTGCCTGCCTCCTGTGACCTTGAGTAAGTTATATAACCTCTCTAGGATTCAGAAAATGGGTCCCTCATTGAAATGTCAGTGTATTTTCTAAGCTTTAAGATTATAGGAATCTTGTTTGTCTCAGTAACACTACACACATCAGAAAACACATCTCTTCCTGGGATGCCACTGATCGCAGTCCTCCAGTCCCCCATCTACCCTCATCCAGCAGTGTGCCAGGTAATCCTGGGATCTAAAAGCCTAGCCTGATTAGAAACAGCATGGGTGCATGCTCAGTCACTCAGTTGTGTCCAACTCTTTGTGACCTCACAGACCATAGCCTGCCAGACTCCTCTGTCCATGGGATTTTCCTGGCAAGCATACTGGAGTGGGTCCTACATTGCCAGGCAGACTCTACCACTGAGTCACCTGGAAAGTCCAATAACAGCATATAAAGACAGATTCCATTTCAATCTAGGTGCCAGGCTCACCCAGGACATGAAAATTTTTGAGGTGCACCCAGGATTCCTACAACTTTTGGAGTATTTGGTGATCTATATCTACAAATAACACACTGAAATACTAAACTTCTCCTTGCCTCTAGGGCCAGCTCATACACTAAACACATTCTGTCTATTTCTGCAGGGACAGACTTAAGGCATTGCCAACCCAGTACTGGCAGCACTTGGTAAAGTATGTTCCCTCACCCACAACAGACATCAACAATCAATTACAGAGCCACTCCCCACTATACTTGATCCGATGAGCATTCTAGGCAGCCACTACCAATTAGTCCCAGTGGCATGCAAGAGAAAGCCAAGTTGCCATTTTAGTCTAATCTACTGTATAAGTGAGAAAATGAGGGCTAAATCAGCAGTGTTACTTTCCTGAGGTCACACTCCTAAGCTGTAGAACTGTATATTAGGAACTGGTTTTTGTTTTGTGTATAATCGTTGCTGCAATAGCCAAATAGCATCTGAGGTGTTTCACATGTTGCCATGGGTGTTTTATATACCGAACCATGATGCACAGCATTGCATGGTGGAGGGTTTGCTGCTAACAAGCCACAGTAGCTAGAGAACTATGACGATAAGACGCCTTGTTTAAAAGCCTTGGGACTCCCCTGGTGGTCCACTGGTTAAGCCTGCACCTTCTAGTACAGGGGGTACGTGGTCAGCTCCTGGTCAGAGAGCTAAGATTCTGTGTGCCTTGTGGCCAAAAACCCAAAACATGAAAAACAGAAACAAGGTTGTAACTAATTCAATAAAGACTTTAAAAATGATCCACATGAAAAATAATAACAATAAATAAATAAAAGGCTTGGGGCTTCCCTGGTGATCCAATGATTAAGACTGTACTCCCAGTGCAGAGGGTATGGGTTCGATTCCTGGTTGGAGAACTAAAATCCTGCATGCCACACAGCATGGCCAAAAAAATAAAATGAAAGGCTTAAGTTAGGTCACTAATTAGGTTATAGCCAGATAGTGAGTGAGTAACAGCAACTTCTAATTAATGAGAATTGTGTAGGAAGAAAACAAAGGCTTTCACTGCTGAGATTTAATAATGAAATTTCCATTAAATAAGAATAATCACCTCAGGGACAAAAAAGAAATAAAGTTATGCCCAAATTTGGTCACAAAGCTGTTGGAAGGTATGCATACAGCTCTGACTGCCGCCAGCAGCTAACGACCCATGTCCTTGAAATGGAATCAGGTCAGGGAAGTGTGTAAACACTCGAGGTTTCACTGTCTCCTCTCAGGAGCTTGCTCAAATGCACAGTCCAGCCCCATAGCAGTCCCAGTGAACTTCAGGAGAAAGAAAAAGTGTTTTCAACAAGGAAGGTAATGTTATTCGTTCCCATTGGCATGATTCAGGAGTGGCCTTTAGGAGAGTCTGGGAGGTGAAGGGAAGACCCTGTCCCCAGTATCCTCAAATTCCCCCTCCATCCCTGGACTAATTGCCTAGAATTTCCTCTTAGTGCCTTATCTCTCCAGTTCAAGGATTCTCAACAAAGAGGCTGCACCCAAAGGGCATCAGAAACACCTGGGGCTTTTTTTAAACTATACACAGAAAACCCAGCCCCACCTCCACGGGCCGTCTCCTGCTTGCCCTGGCTGACCTGTGTGCTCCCAGGCAAGAGCCGGTAGCTAGCTCTCCATACGCAGCAGCAGTGCTGTGTGGGGAATAGATGGGGAATCCTGCTTAGCCTGAGGCCCTGATCTCTGTGGAAATTGTAACTGGCTCTAGGAAGAGTCCACACCTGGAAGTTCCCACAAATGACTAGAGGGAGTGCCTTATGTTTATTCATGGTTCCACCCTGGGTGGTCAGGAGCAGCAATATGCCAGATATAGGCATTAGTACTGGGAGCCCAGAGGAAAGTGAGGTCCAGCGCCTCCTCTCAGACTTCGTGGTCCACAGAGGAAGATGAACACGTGACAACCACAGGGCTTGTCCTGGAGTAAGCAGCCTCAAGGGTGGTTAAGAAGCAGGAGAGCCTGGGTTTGAATCTCAGCTGTGTCACTTATCTGGTGGCTCAGACAGTAAAGAATCTTCCTGCAATGTGGGAGATCCAAGTTCAACCCCTGGGTCAGGAAGATCCCGAAGAGAAGGGAATGGCAACCCACTCCAGTATTGTCTGTGAAATTTCATGGAGAGAGGAGCCTGGCGGGCTACTGTCCATGGGATTGCAAAGAGCCAGACACGACACAGGCCAACTAACACTTCACTTTCTGACACTTACTGGCTAGATGACTAAACCTCTGTGTGCCTCACTTGTTCCATCTATCACCTCATGAGAATTGTTTTACGTAGGTTGAATCAGCTAATTTTTTTGAATACCCCTAAAGCAGTGCCTATCATGGTAAGAAATATGCCCCCTTCGATAAATCAGCATAACAAATAAGTGTCTTGAGGCCATTGGAGCCCACAGGAGTGTTTAAATCCATCTAGGGGCTGAGGAAAAAGAAAAACACAACCGCTGACGGCATAAGGGGATGAGAAATCTAACAAGGAAATCCTTGTACCAAGTGACGGGTGGGAAAATGTGACATTGGGGTGAACAGTGTTCAATGTGGCTGGAAGGGTAGAGCATGCTGGGGGATGGAGGAACAGCAGCTGAGGAGGTGAGTGGTAGTAGCTTGCAGGGGGCCTTGTCTAACACCCCAGGCAGCCCGGACCCCGTGCCACCGAAGCTTCTTCGCCAGCACGTGACATGGTTGATTGGGCTGGAGAAAGCCCTCTGCACATACTGAAAAGAAACGATGTCTTGGATTTGTGAACACTGATGCTGGGAGTGAGGGGTCTGGGGGATAAAGAACCCAGACTGGCAATGAGATGACAGTCGTTGAGGCTGGGTGATGGTTAAATAGGGGTTCAGGATACTATCATTTCTATGTTTTTGCAATCTTCTGTTATAAACAATTATCTTGAAAGGATGACTGGGAGAAAGCTCTTAGGCACCATGATTCTCTGCTCTCATCAGTCACATGTCTCAGTGTGAAAGGAGGGAAGTCTTGACCACCGTAAAAAAGAATAAGGGGGAGCCGAGGTAGGAAGAGAGGAGAAGGCGGGGCTGCCCGACATCAGCCAGCCTCCATCTCCTCATGCCCGCTTCCCGCAACCTTACCTGGATATTCTGCCTGACACAGATTTGTTTTTTAATTAATTTATTTACTTACTTATGCCTGCCCTGGGTCTTCGCTGTTGCACACGGGCTTCCTCTGGTTGCAGAGAGCGGGCGCTACTCTTTGAGGTGCACGGGCCTCTCACTCCCGCGGCTTCTCTTGTGGCTCAGAAGCTCCAGAGCGCAGGTCCCCTGGTTTGGCCCCCGGGGTTATGTGCTCTGCTGGTATGTGGGATCATCCCCAGTCAGCAATGGAACTTCAGCCCCCTGCACTGCAAGGCAGATTTTAACCACTAGACACCAGAGAAGCTCTGACACAGATTTTAGCAATCAGCTCTCCGTGCTCTCAAGGCCCAGCCCCGCTGGCTTTGAGGCTAACGCTTCCCTGAGGTCCCTGCCGACCAAAGAAGTCCATATGCCCCCAGGACTGCCCGAAGCCCATTTCAGCGTCCTGGATAATGAGCGTGTGATCCAAACAACACCTTTGCTGCTGCCAGGGCAGTGGGGGAACGTTGAGAGGCTCTTTTCTAGAGGAGACTGCCAAAGAGAAGGGCAAGGTATGAAGAGGAAACTGTGGCAAGGCTTGACTACCGCTTCCCATGTTAAAAAGCAAGCGGGACGTTCTGGGTGCTGCTGCCCTCTACAGGCCAAACGGTAGACTGACGGCGGCCCCACCGCACTGTCCTGAAGATGGGGTCCACCTTACCCGGAGGCCTGGGGGTAACAAGAGAAACAGGTAGGCGGGGCCCCAGGGCCCAGCTGCAGCTGTAAGAAGGTTGGAACGAGCAGAGGTCCCGCTGCCTTAAGCAAGCCTGATGGCCTATGGGCTTTCTCACCTAAAGCCAAGCCGAACTGGTGCCCCGCAAGGGGATTTTTCAACATATGCAAATGGTCTGGGCTTGTCCTGTGACTCTGGAGCACCGCCTGGCATTTAATGGTCAAAGCCCAGCAACGCTAAGTGGCCTGCAAATTGAGGGGAAGTCCTGAACAGAAAATCTTTCACAATCCAAATGCTACACGCTCTCCCCCTGAAAAACACTCCCTTGCCCTTGCTGGGTCCACCTCCACCCCCTCTCCCAGATCACTGTTTCTCAAACATAGGGACTCGGGGGCTCCTACCTATATATTCAGTGAACTCTATAGAATCCAGTTTAGGAAACACTACTTCAAAAGTTAAATGTTACCAGAGCTGGAAATTGTTTGACCCTGTGATTGTAAGTACAAATGCAAATGCAGGCACTAAGATTGCATGCTGTTATTGGTTTTGAGATGGTCATTGATGACCCAGAATAGGTGCTTATTGCGTTTATTTTGAGTGAAATCACAGTTGTTACAATGTTAATAATGAATGTTCACATCCTCAAGAATATGCCTGTGGACTTCCTTGGTGTAAATCAAGGATACAGATGATTTAATCTTTGCCCACCAAAGTGTTCTGGTTTCCCCAATTCAAGGGCAGCTCCATAAGACTTGAGGGGCAGCACCTGGGAATCTAAAGGCATGTTCTCAGAACTGGTGATGAGACCCAGCAAACTGTGTCCTAGCAAGTTCTTCAGGTGATCCTGATGCTCACTGAGATTTGAGAACCACCGAGCTATAAAGCAGACTCAATCCTTTGAAATGTCAGTGTCTGAAGGACATGCATATCATGGTAGGCAATGGTTGAGAACACAGAAGTGCAATCTGTGTGCAGAAGAAACCAGGCGCGTAAGACTCAGAAACCCATGTTCTTTTTTCTAAATTCTACTGTCTTTATCAGCACTGTCTAAAAGAACTTTCCATGATGATGAAAATGTCCTTTATCAATAGCTACTAGCAACAACGTGTGGCTCATGAGCGTTTGAAATGCAGATGGTGCAGCTGAGAAGTAAATCTTTGATTTCTTCAATTTTAATGTCAATAGCCTCATATGATTAGTGACTCATCTGTTGCACAGGGGAGGATCCATCATACAGTTTGGTGTGAAAATGCCATCGTGGAAAGCTTCACCCAAAATAATTCTCAGGGGGAAAAGCATACACACAAGAGCATTGGTACAACTAGCAATTAATCATATAACTCATTAATCTTAATGGAAATGGTGACAGATCCTTCTTAACAGTGTCTGCATTAAGGAAATACAATTAATCCGCAGATTCAGTGACTCAGATTTAGAGAGGTCTGCCTTCTCTAAATGTTACCAACCAGCAGAAGCCAGGCACGGCAGCTCTGAGTCCACCAGCGAATGGATTGAATGAGGACAGTAAAGGCAGATGGAGCCATTTCAACAGTTAATCTTTTTTTCTCGACAGACTTTAGAGACTCCCTGTTTTGCTTCTACAACTGTTCTTCTAAGTATTGAGAGGACTTAGTCAAGTGGTTACTCCATGGAGTCTGACCATAGCAGTGAATTTAGCGGGAATAACACTGATCTAGTCATCACTCAGTGCTGGGCAAAGTGGTCTTCCAAGATGTCAGGCTAGAGTAGCAAGCAGAGAAAAGGCATGTCACCTGGTTAGCAGCATTGGCATCTGACACTTGGCCATCCAGTGCCCACCGAGATGGGAATCCCAGCCCACAGGGATGTTTAATAACTTTTAGAACAGGTGAAAGACCCCCAATTAATGGACCAGTTGAATAAGACTGTCTCCTCTTGCCAGCAAACAGGACCCACTCTGCACTTCTACTCCAAACCTCATTATTTGCCTTTTGAATTGAATGGACCTTTTTGAATGCAGTAAACAAATCAGCTATAATTACAGTGAAGACAAGCCATAGCAGTATTTTCTGCAAATAGGGCCTCAAACCAGGTTTGTTAAAATCCCGAGCCTGCAGGGAGATGGCGGAGAAGCAGATCATGAAAACAGGGAGTGACAGGGCTGAGACAACCCAAGAGTGACCAAAAAGATTGGAAGAAATTCTGAAAATTGGATATTAGGGCCTATGCAGGGTGAAGCAATAAGGATGAATGAACAGCAGATGGGGAAAGAAATAAAAAGGGCTGTGCAAAACAAGAACAGAGTTTTCTTTCTCAAACAACATTGGCCACAAATCCAGACCAGGGTCTCTGCCTGGTGCCTTTGCATGCACTGAGCCAACTCTAATGACAGAGCCTGTCTTGGTGACATCTGCCAAAGTCCAGCACACTTCAAATACTAGTCAGTGTGAAATCCTGGCAACTTTCTAAGCCAGTGCCTCTCAAACTCTCAAGCACATATATTACCTGTGCCTGCATGCATGCTTAGTCACTTTGGGCATGTCCAACTGTTTGCGACCCTATGGACTGTAGCCCACCAGGCTCCTCTGTCCATGGGATTCTCCAGGCAAGAATACTGGAGTGGGTTGCCATGCCCTCCTCCAGGAGATCTTCCTGACCCAGACATGGAACCTGTATTGGCAGGCAGATTCTTTGCTGCTGAGCCACCAAGGAAGCCCATACTTTGAGTAACAAACCTTTATTCTCTCGTCAGTCACAAGTGAGCTTGTTTGGTTGAGAATCACACCAGGAAGTCAAGGACATCCAGTTGAGCCCCATGAGTGGGATCACTGTGTTCTGCAGCTGCAAACTGAACCCGCAGCTCCAACTGGTTGTCTTGAGTCTTTGTCACACACACGACCAGAGGAGAGTCACGGGGGAGGAATACCTATCTGAAGGTCAGCAGATAACACGCGGGCTGCTGGGGGGAACCCAGCCCTGAGCCACATTGTCCATAGCTCTGACTCTCTGCTCTCCCCACTCCCACCTGCCCCGCAAGGTCTTGTTACCCTCATTCCCTGGATGCCGACTTCAGAATTGTCTTTTAGACTAAATCACTCCGAAGCAGGATTGCAAACTAGTCCCCTCTCTCCCGCTGACTGGCTGATCTGAAGTGGCTGCCTGTGGAGCTAATTTGAGGAAGATGCTGAAACCAGGTTTTGGCTCTGCTGGAAGATCTGTCTTCCTGGGTGAGTGCGTCTGTAGTGGGGGAGACGGGGAAGGGGCAGATGCTAAGCAGGTGTGAAGCTCTCACAGGGAGGCCTGTTAGGTCTCTGCTCTGAACACAGGACAGGGGGAGGCTGGGAGCCGTGACGACGGGGAAACTCCACAGCTTCTCAGCGCTGTCACCCCACCCTCCCACCCCCACACCTGCACTGCTGTGTCCTGCTCCCGGGCTGGGGAACAGGCCCGAGGTCATCCGACTCCTGCTTTGTCAGAAAGGAGTGCTGACTTAGCTTGTTTAGATGAGTAGCACACCAGGAAAGAAAGGACATTAGTTGGTCCATTTTTGCCCAAAACTAGACTGGCTGCTTCACAAGAGACCCTGCACCCAAAGGACTCTCAGTAGGCTGAGCATGGCAGATTCCGAATTTTTAAGAAAACTAAAGAATGGGAAGATCTGGGGTTTTGTCCCATCTCTGCCACTTTTAGAGAAGACACTTGACTTCAGTTTCTTTATCCCTAAAATGGAGTTTAACTAGGTGGCCCCAAATTCCCTTTGTAGATACACAACCTATGAGTCCAATCTCAGAGAACATTCAAACAATAGCATTGGTGGGCATTAACAAATTACAGCTGCACTTGCTCCCCTTTGGGGCAAACTGGGTTTTTTGAAGGGCATTTTGGTCTCTGGCTGGTGAGTTTCTGCTGTTCATATTTCAGGTTCTCTGGTAAGTTTAGTCCATGTCAGAAAACTAGGCTGGCAGACACTTAGTACTTTCTGCCTCACCAAGAAAGATGAAGTGTGAAGGTCCTCATTCATTTTTTTTAACATTTCTGGGAGGAAAACTGCTCTAGGATGAAGGCAGTGATGCTTAAAGAACAATCCTGACCACCTGTGTGCAAATTCCTGTGGAAGGGTAGGATAAAGAACACCATTTTAAACAAAATTATGCCCCACCCCACCCCCATCCACATGATTCTCATGCACCCAGACATCTGAGACCCACTCACCTCAGGGTTTCTCTTGTCAGTGATTCACGTGGTGGGAAGGGGCGGGGAAACATGCTTCACACACAGCTGTTCCCGGACAGAAAATGCTGGAAATTGATTTGATTAGATGCATCTGGTGTTGCCATTGAGGTTTCATACTTTGATGGGTGTTTCTTGCTGATGGAATTTTTAAAAAAGTCCTCACTTAAGAGATCCTATTTTATGGCTATGGCTTTATTTTCATTGGTTTCACACCAGGCATTTTAACAAAATGATTTTTTGCCTCTGGTTGAAGAAATAGATGTGTGTGTGTGCAGCTATACAATGCGTTTCAACCAAACCCAGGCACAGTTTGAATGTTGATATATTTTAAAGGCAGGGCATGCTGTCATAAAATCAAGCATGCAATATGACCAGCAGCTTGGTGGTCGTGAGGTTCATGGATCACTCCAACTGCCTTTAGACATGAAAAAGCAGAAATGTCACAAGAAGCAGTACTGCACCAGTGACTGGATTTCCATGATGTAGAACATAAAAGTGTTACTTAGAGGAAGGAAAAGAGACAAAGAGAAGGAAACAATGTCTTTTTTTGTTTTGTTTTGTTTTTTGTTTTTTTTTTTCTTTTTTTTTTTTTTGTTTTTCCATTTATTTTTATTAGTCAGAGGCTAATTACTTTACAACATTGCAGTGGTTTTTGTCATACATTGAAATGAATTAGCCATGGATTTGGAAACAATGTCTTAATTGCACTTATCACAGTTTCCTGTCTCTCAGACCAGACTATGAGCTGTGAAAGGCAGTGAGAAAGATTGTTTGCAAAATTCGCCACCATCATTCCCCTGCTTGTTGCCAAGTCTCTTGGCCATGACCGTCAGGAGGTATTCCCTCTTTCCCCAGAATCTGGCCTGGATGTGTAACTTGATTTATTCTGATTTGACCAATACAATGACTATTTATGTCAGTTCCATGCCTAATCCTTGAGACCCGACAGCCTTCCCCCCTCATTCTCTTGGAATCTTCCAAATGCTACATAAGTCCAGGCCACACTGCCAGAGGCTGAGGGGTATGGAGCCAGAGAAGAGACATCCGAGCTTAGGCCCCCAGCCCAGCCAGCCTTGACTGACCCCACAGCTGACCACAGGCCCTGAGTAGACTCAGCCAAGGCCAGAAGAACTGGTCAGCTGAACCCCACCCAAATTGTTGACCCAGAGTCTTGTAAACTAAATACAGAGTTTATGTCTTAAGCCACTATGTTTTGGGGATATTTGTTATATAGCCAAAGCTAACTGATACATGGGAAGATTGTATATGTGTTTCATTTCACTTTATCTCCACCCAGCATGGTGCTTGGCACTCAAATGATGAATACATGAATGAAGAAATGCAGAGATGAATTAGCCTTTAAATGCTTGGATGCTCCATGTTCTGTAGAATGAAACATTCTTCTTTGAGCTATAAAAATAAGAACACTGCCGAACACTGCCTTTTTGACAGCAGCAATATCTGTTATTAAATAACAGACTGGGAACTGGATACCTCCTGCTCTGAAGTCTGAGGCACATGCTTTTAATTCTCTAAAGAACCCAACCATTAAGTAATTACTTTTTGAAACTGCCTTCTCTGGAAATCCACTTCTTTAACCTATCCGCAGAGCAGCCCTGCGAGGCAGACTGTCCCCACTTCCCAGAAATGAGCTCCCTGTGGTGTGTTCCCTTATGCAGAATTACTGGCTACATCTACTCGGGAACATAATCAGAGGCTGTGAGAAATGGAGTGAGGTGTCTGAGCGTGCTTACCTACCACCTCCAGATTCTGACAGTCACCAACCTGCTGTTCATAAAAGAGTTAGGTCCATACAGACTTGGTCAGAATTCAAGACTCCAACCAGGCAGGTGGCATGTGGGTATCAAGATCCATGAAAAAAATAAAGAAAAAAAACAAAAAGAATATCAAAGGATGAAAAAATAAGATCTTAGGCAATAGCTTCACTGCACATTTGTTTCTGTACTTAATAGTCATGAACTGTTAAAGTTGCCAAGAACAAGGATGGAATTTATGTAATCCTAACTGTTCAATATAGGGCTCTGCTATTAGTGCTCTGTAATCGCTTGACTTCTTTTATCACCTATTTGTATTTCCAGTATTCGTGAAATCTTCATTTATATCTTAGGCCTTCATTTGGATGGACTCTATCGTTTGTAGGTTAACACTGGTTATTAGGTTTCTTGTATCACTGGCCTCTAACAAAGTAGTACATGTCTCCCAGAAAAATCATGAAGGAAGACAGAAAAGATAACTGACCTGGATCCTCTTGGAAGAACTTAATAATGCACAGCTCGGGACCTCTTGAGCTCGCTTAGGAAGGAAGAGTGTGGAGAAGTCCAATATATGCATATGTGCACAGGGGACCATGCTTCTTAAAATAGCTTCTAGTCACAGAAAAGTCTGGAGGATCAGTGGGTAACTGAAGCATTCATACTCAGTTGTGTCTGACTCTTTGTGACCTCTTGGACTATAGCCCGCCAGGCTCCTCTGTCCATGGGATTTCCCAGGCGAGAATACTGGAGTGGGTTGCCATTTGCTTCTCCAGGGGATCTTCCCAACCCAGGGATCCAACCCTCATCTCCTGCACTGGCGGGATTCTTTACCGCTGAACCATCAGGGAAGCCCCAGATAACTGAAGACCCATCTTGAAAAGTGCAGGTGCTTTGGGAACAGACCAAGATTCGACTCTGCTCTTCAACACAGAAATTCCTCTTGGAGGAACCTAGTCTCCAAGTACACAAAGGATATTCATGGAGAGTCACTGCAGGGGCATTTTTAACAATAAAAACCAGAAAACCTAAGTGTCCAACAGTAGGATATGTAGTTGAATAAACGGCACATTTATTCCGTGGATTACTATGTAGACCTTAAAAGGAATGGAGCATTTCTGGTTGTGCTGCTGTGGAAAGAACTTAGTTGCATTATTTAGAGAAAAGAATAAAGTGCAGGAAAATTGTGCGTGCTCCCATCCATGCATATGCAGGGAAAATTGTGCGTGCTCCCATCCATGCATATGCAGGGAAAATTGTGCGTGCTCCCATCCATGCATATGCAGGGAAAATTGTGCATGCTCCCATCCATGCATATGCAGGGAAAATTGTGTCAAGATAAACAAGGAACTCTCGATCACACTTACATGTAGAGAGTAGGACTAAATTAGAACGTTTTTTCCTAGCCTAGGACTAAGAATGAGAATTTCTCTTCCTCATTTCCCCTTTTGTTTACTGTTCCAATTGTTCTCATGTGTGTATGCTATCTTTGTAATTGGAAAATAAAATCCTGCTTCTGTCACCTAACAACTTGCAGTCGACTGCAGGGTGGACCTGACCCTCCACCCCAACCCCTCCCCGTATTCCTACCCCTTTGCAATATGACTGGGAAGCTGCTCCCAACAGTGAATAGGGTTTCTCTCACCATCCCTTGAATCTAGGCAGCCTTCATGCCCTGCTTTGGCCAATTGAGATTATGACAGAAGTGACAGTACTAGTTCCAGGCAGAGGTATCAAGAGGCCTTGCATCCATCCAGCCTTCCAATGGAATCCTGCCAAGCTGCCAGGGCAGCTCAGCTCAGCTGTCCTACTGGAGGATGGAAGAGGTCATGCGATGGGTTGTGCCCTACTCCCAACACCCCAGCTGACGGCCAGTCTCTAGGACTGTGAGTTAACAAATGGTTATTCTTAGCCACTAATTTGTGGATGGTTTGTAACAAAGTAATAGCTAACTGGTGTGCCCACCATGTGACCTTGGGAAGAATATGTTTCCTCTTCTGTGAAATGGGAAGACCTACACAAACTATGTAAGATTTTTGCAAAAGTTTTGGTGTGATTAGGTATAGAGCATGCTATGGACTGTAACCCTCCAGGTTCCTCTGTCCATGGGATTCTCCAGGCAAGAATACTGAAGTGGGTTGCCATGCAACCCAACCTCCTCCAGGGGATCTTCCCGACCCAGGGATCGAACCTGCATCTCCTGCATTGCAGGTGGATTCTTTACCACTGAGCCACCTGGGAAGCCCTTAATAAATGCAGCTACTGAGTACTTATAAACAAGTACTATCTCACTGGCTCTGAAGTGTAGCTGCATGTTGGAATTAGCTAGAGAGACGTTTTTAATATTTTTTAAATATTTTTCAATTACCTACCCCAGAACATTTCCTAAGGGCAGGTGTCATTTTTTAACATTTATTTTTATTTATTTGGCTGCTCCAAGTCTTAGTTGCAGCAAACAGGATCTTCAGTCTTCACTGAGGCATGTGAGGTCTTTTAGTTGCGGCAA